ACCCATAGTGACCCTGTATAGGGTTTCTGAGGAGCAGCTGGTGAGCTTGAACCACCAGCTTTGTGGTTCAAAGCAAATTTTTATTGTTCCTATGGATTTACCTATTCTGGATATTTCATATAAATAGAATTATACAATATATGGCCTTTGGTGACTGAATTCTTTAGTTAGCATAATGTTTTCAAGGTTCCTCCATGTTGTAGCATGTATCAGTACTTCATTCCTTTTCGTGGCAGAGTAAGATTTCATTACACAGATTAAAAAAAAAAAAAGATGCAATGATAATTACTGGTGATGGGAATGCAAAAGTTGGGAAAAAAGAAGGATCAGCATAGCTGGAAAACATGACCTTGTGATAGAAACAACACCAGAGATCCCATGATAGAATTTTGCAAGACCAGCAACTTATTCATTATAAATACCTTTTAACAACAATATAAACAGTGGACCTCACCATGTAGAATACATAAGAATCAAATCAACAACCTCTGTGGAAAGAGACACTGGAGAAGTACAATATCATCAGTTAGATGAACAAAGCCAGGGTCCACAGTGGAACAGATCACCAATTGCTCATATGCAAGTTCAAGTGGAAGATTAAGAAAATTAAAATAAGTCATTGAGAACCAAAGTACACATTGAGTATATCTCACCTGAGTTTAGAGACCAGCTCAAGAGTAGATTTGGCACATTGAACATTAGTGACCAAAGGACAAGATAAACTGTGGGATGACATTAAAGATATCATACATGAGTAGATTAAAAGATCATTAATGTATGTACAACCTTGGAACAACAGGGCTCTGGGATACAGGAAATGAGACATGGTTGGAATGGGGAAAAGAGGGGAATGATGTTAAGATGCTTGGCTGTCTTTTCAATCTTGGTTTCCCTGGCATACCATTATAAAATAGATACTGGAGGGAGAGAGAAAGGAATAGCCAGAAATATCACCATAGAAAGTTTGTAAGTCTGTCTTCTGCCTATAACTGATTGGAATACCTAAAACGGGGCTACAACGTGCCCAGTGAAGGAGGCTTCCTGTGGAGCCTCTGCATTACATAAGACCATTGGTGGAATCCTGAACAGCATCCAGAATCTTGAGGTGGGAAATTTCCACTTGAAAGGACAAGCAAACCAGCCTGGAGCAGCTAGAAGAACAGAAGATACTTCTTGAAAGAAAGACCAACAGGAAAAATACAAAACAATAACAGCAGACTAACTGATTACTACAAGAACAAGCAAGTGGCTCACCCAGGAGGCATCAGGGCAAGTGGTCGGGTCCCCTCAGAGCAAATCCTCTTCCAAGACTAAGACTCAATGGGAATACATGGTCTGATTGGTGATCAAGTTCATCACCGATAAGGGGAAGTGAGGGAAAAACAGCAATGAAGCTGCGAGCTAAGCCCTACAATGTTCAATAGACTCCTGTGAACCTGGGTAGAGACCTGGTTGGCCAGCAGTGTGGCAAAACCTGGGGACTCTTGGGCACAGAGTCAGCAACATAGCCACAGAAGACTAGAGTGAAGCATCCAGCTGATAAGAAGAGAGGACATATGCACAAGAACATCCACACTTGCAGATAATACCCACTTGACCAGGCTTCAATGAATGGATGATCAGAGCTCAACTAGAAGAAGACAGAAGACGGAAAAAAAAAAGAGTAATCTAATAAAATCTGATGAACTTGACCTACACCTATGGATGCAGTAGCTCAAAAGAGGGACAAATCTTTACAGCAAGGATCATTCCCACCCCCTCCATACACAGAGTAGACAAGGACCAGCAACTTGGACATTGGCTACCCAAAATGGGGGGGGAGGGTGAGGGAGCTTCAAAGGCAAGAAGTGACTGGCTTACAAGCTTTCAAGAGGGAACCTAGATCCAGAGAGCGTGGAGGAAGGTGGAAACTCCACTGAGTAATATATCCAATCTGTCTAGGCAGGGCTGATGAAAGGAAACGCGGATAGGTCTCTTGTGATACAATAGTGAATAATTGTTATCAGGACTGATTGTGAGGGCTGGAAATGTAAAGGTAGACGTTTTGTGGCAAGGAGGGGAGTGATTAACTTTGCAGTCTAGGAGCGAAGGTCCCTGGGACCATCAAGGGAGAAGAGCGCAGAGCAGGACCCTACCCAGAGAAGCAGTGATGCCAGAGATGGAGGCAGAGACGATGATGTGGAGTGATGGAGCTGCTGGAGACTTTAGACCCAGAGAGTGGGGGGGGGGAGGGGGTAGGCTTGCAGGGTATACCCTTTGGTTGGTTGATGATGCATGAAGGGGATTGTAACCATGGCAATGAAACGGTATACAATAGGATGAATGTAAAGCTAATGTTCTCCCATGTAAACTATCACATAATTCACAATAAAACTTTTTTTTTTTTAAAGGTCATTAAAATGACAAGAAAGAAAAGACCAAAATCGATGTCAGAAGAAATTCTGAAACTTGCTCTTCAACATAGAGTAACTAAAGCAAATTTAAAAAATAATGAAGTAAAAGAACTGAACAGAAATTTTCAAAAGGCAGCTAGAGATGTATCATAGTCAAGTATCATAATGAAATGTGCAAAGACCAGGAGTTAAAAAAACAAAAGGGAAGAACACACTCAGCATTTCTCAAAGATAAAGAAGTGAATTAAAAAAAAAAAAGACTTCAATTGCAATATTGAAGGATTATGTGGGTAAAACACTGAATAACACAGGAAGTATCAAAAGACAATAGAAGGAATGCAGTGTTACCATACCAAAAAGAACCGGTCAACATGTAAGCATTTTAGGACATAGCGTAAAATCAAGAACTGATGGTGCTATCCAAGTTGCACTAAAGGCACTGATAAAAAACAAGGTCCCAGGAATTGATGTAATACCACTTAAGATGATTCAACAAATGGATGCAATGTCGAGAGTACACACCTGTCTATGCCAAGAAATTTGGAAGACAGCTCCCTGACATACTAACTGGAAAAGACTCATAAACATGCCCATTCCAAAGAAGAGTGACCCAATGGAATGCAGAAATTATTGAAAATATCACATACAAGTAAAATTATGCTGAAGATAAATCCAAAAACAGCTGCAGTAGTACATCCAGGAAACTGCTTGAAATTCAAGCAGGATTCAGAAAAGGATATGGGATTCAGAATGGATATGATTGTTGCTATCAGATGGATCTTGACTGAAAGCAGAGAATGCCAGAAGGATGTTTACCTGTGCTTCACTGACTATGCAAAGACATTCAGTTGTGTGGATCACAACAAATTATGGACAACATTGTGGAGAACGGGAATTCCAGGACACTTGATTGTATTCATGAGAAACCTGTACATGACTGCCAAGAGGCAGTCATATGAACAAAACAAGAGGACACTGAGTGGTTTAAAACCAGGAGAGATGTGTGTCAGGGGTATGTGCTATCACCATTCTTATTTCAACCTGTAAGCTGATCAAATAACCCAAGAAGTTGAATTATATGAAGAAGAACATGGTATAAGGATTAGAGGAAGGCTTATTAATGACCTGCAGTATGCACATGGAATAACCTAGCTTGTTGAAAGTGAAGAGGACTTGAAGCACTTACTGATGAAGATCAAACACTGTAGCCTTTAGTATGGATTACATCTCAACAAAAATCCTCACAACTGTATCATTATGTAACATCTATGATAAATGGAGAAAAGTTTGAATTTGTCAAGGATTTCATTTTACTTGGATCAACACACATGGAAACAACAGTCAAGAAATCACAAGACATATTGTAATGGGAAAATTTGCTGCAAACCATCTCTTTACAGTATTAAAAAAGCAAAGATATCACCTTGAGGAGTACAGTGCTCCTGACCCAAATCATGATATTTTCAAACACCTCAAATGTGTGCGAAAGCTGGATAATGAATAAGGAAGACCAAAGAAGAATTAGTGCCTTTGAAAAATTAGTATTGGAAAAGAATATTGACTATAACATGGACTGCCAAAAGAACAAACAAATCTGTCCTGGAAGAGGTGTAGCTAGAATGTTCCTTAAAAGGAGGCAGATGAGACTTCATCTCATATACTTGGTATATGCTATCAGGAGATACCTGTCTCTTGAGAAGACATCATGCTTGGTAAAGTAGAAGGTCAGCAAGCAAGAAAGAAAAAGACCCTCAACGAGATGGACTAACACAGTGTGGCTGTAACAGCGGGTTCAAACAAAGTAATTCTGAGTAAGGTACAGGACCAGGCAGTGTTTCATTTTGTTGTACATAGAGTCATTATGAGTCAGAACCAACTGGCTGGCACCTAATAATAACAAGAACAATAAGATGATGATGGTGCCTAGATCATGTAATGCCACCAAAACTTACCATGGTGAATGGACATACTACTGCTTCCAGAAGCTAAACAGACTCCTCATCTATCTTTAAGGTCAAGGAGAGTCCGTTTTACCCAAACTGAAATATGTAGGTCTTCTGGAGGAGGAAAATTTCCATCTGCATTCTCTCTCCACAAGCTTATGAAGCAAGTCAGTCCTTTCATTGTGAGCTGAGATTATTGGAGTATATAAATCTGTTTCTTTATTATACTATGTATAAATCCAGCTACTTAATTAGAATTGGCATAAGCCACTACTGTTAGCACAACACTGACCTTAAGTCACACCAAATATTTAGACAATGACTTTGTTTGCATGTAATCACCCTGAATCCCCTCAGCTCTCCAAAATTTGAAATCAGAATAACGTTGCTTTTCTAACCTTCTTAAAATTTTTAGAAACATAAATTGTATTATGCCTCTAACCCAAGGAAAAAGGCACTAATGGAAAACATGAAATAGTCACCCTCAGTGGTACTGTGACTCTCTCACTCACTGAAGATGAGTAGTGTGATTTATAAACATCATTTTAAATATCAGACAGGGAACAAGTGAGCCAGTATGGACTGGCTTGGAAGCAGCATTAACAACATGAGATTTTAAGAATATAGAGGAGTTATCTGGAAAAAGAGAAAATGCATGTCTTACCTCCTACCAACAAGTAGCTGTTGGGGAACAGTGTTTTTGCTTGCATAAGTGCCCTTGCATGACCTGAATGGAAGAGGTCAAATATTCCATCTGCATACACCCTGACGGGCCTGTCAACTGTGGGGGAGAAAGAAAACAGTGTCAACAGCACAACAGAAAAAGGAATCCCAGTTACCAGATTCTTCTATCTGTGCAGTGCCACAAGGAATCTGACCTGGATAAGATATAATTGCTACATACTATGAGTTTTAATTAGTATGTCAGATTAATTTTTAAAAGAGGTACTTTTTAAAAAAATGTTTTATTGTGAATTATGTGATGGTTTACATGGGAGAACATTAGTTTTACATTCATCCTATAGTATATCGTTTCATTGCCATGTTTACAATCCCCTCCATGCATTATCAACCAACCAAAGGGTATACCCTGCAAGCCTGCCCCCAGTCATCAGCACACAGCCCCTCTCCCTCTCTGGGTCTAAAGTCCCCAGCTGCTCCATCTCTCCACGTCATCGTCTCTGCCTCCATCTCTGGCATCACTGCTTCTCTGGGTAGGGTCCCGCTCTCTGCTCTTCTCCCTTGATGGTCCCAGTGACTTCTCCTAGACTGCAAAGTCAATCACTCCCCTCCTTGCTACAAAACGTCTACCTTTACATTTCCAGCCCCAAAATCAGTCCTCATAACAATTATTCACCACTGTATCACAAGAGACCTATCCACATTTCCTTTCATCAGCCCCACCTAGACAGATTGGATACTGCTCAGTAGAGATTCTACCTTCCTTCACGCCCTCTGGATCTAGGTTCCCTCTTGAAAGCTTGTAAGCCAGTCACTTCGCCTTTGTAGCCCCCCCACCCCCACTTTGGGTAGCCAATGTCCAAGTTGCCCATCCCTGTGTACTCTGTGTATGAAGGGGGTGGGAATGATCCTTGCTGTAAAAAAAGAGGTTCTTTTGAGGACATCAAAGCAGAGTTTAAAAAGCAATATCAGAATTAAGACAGAATCAGAATACACATTTTTAGCCAATGGGAAAGAGAAACAGAATACTATAATGGGGTTTTTGTGCAAGTAGATTCAGACTGGGCATAGACAAAGTGCCAACAGAGTCAGTGCATCAAGAATATCAAGGCAGGAGTAACTGAGGGAGGGGCTCAGTGGAAAAGACAAACGACTTCATTCTTGAGTCTGAAAGTCCTGATGAAGACCCTTGAGTCCTATCCTCAGAGTCAGTGGTCTGCTTACACTCTCACAAGAGTAAGTTGAAGGGGAGTGGTTGATCTTGCAGTCCAGGAACGAAGGTCCCTGGGACCATCAAGGCAGAAGAGCGCAGAGCGGGTCCCTACCCAGAGAAACAGTGACGCCAGAGATGGAGGCAGAGACAATGACATAGAAAGATGGAGTGGCTGGGGACTCTGGACTCAGGGAGGGAGGGGCTGTATGCTGACGGCCGGGGGGCAGGCTTGCGGGGATGCCCTTGGGTTGTTTGATGATGCATGGATGGGATTGTAATCATTGCAATGAAATGAAATATGGTAAGATGAATGTAAAGCTAATGTTCTCCCATGTAAACTATCACATAATTCACAATAAAAACTTTTTTTTTAAAAAAAGGAGACATGCAAGGGTGCAAGTGGATGGAGGGAAGTACTGTGAGCTGATGGTGCATGGAGGGGGTTGCAATCATTGTAATGAAGCCAAGTATAGGATTTGCTGAAAGTAAAGCAATGATCTGCTCTGTTAACCTTCACTCAATTCACAATAAAAAGTTCTGTTTTTAAAAAAAAAAAAAAAAAAAAGTAAGTAGAATACCTTTTTCCTACCTCCAAGTTGCATAAGGGTACTCTGAAATTATCCATAGTAGAAATATTTACGCCATGGAAATCAGCAAATGCTACAAATTGGGGCTTATTTCTTTCCAAAGAGTTGGCTGTTAACCATTTACCAGAAAACTACTGCACAAAGGTTGGCCCTAGCCTCTTTGGTATGATAAGAAATAGGGATATATACCCCAAGGGAAGAGAGTCAGGGTTCAAAAGTTGCATTTCAGAGTGGTATTCAGGGTTAAAAGTGAGTAACTAAAACCACAGTCTTTCCTAGAAAAGTCAAGAATGACAAGAGCACAGCAGACACTTTCACAGTGACATATAGCGTTCTGGGCAGTCAGGAAGATGAAAACATTTCACCAAGAGACTATATGAGAAACTGCAGAATCACAGTACTTATGAATCAGGCCAAAGATCCAGGCGTTCCAAGTCCGAGAGAGAATTCCACAGAATTATTCTTTTTTACTTAAAGTGGGAGAAAAGGGTTGTAGCTCATCCTGAATACCTGGAAGATACCTACTGTATTTGTTGTAAAATTATATATATTACCAACTTTTACATCTTTCTGACTTGTCAAAAAAATTAATGAAAAAGTGAAAATTCCAAAAGAGAATCCAAAAAGGGATGGTAGGAGAAACAAGTAGTTTCTCATACCAAAGTGCTCTTGTCTTAAGCACCCTCTTTTTCATGGTGACAAAGACTTGTTGTTTTTGCATTAAGAAGCAAAGAGACATATGAGGCCCCAGCAGTGTTCCTAAACAAGAGATATGAAGGCTACTGGTTCAACATGGTGGACTGAACACGCACATTTACCTCTACTTCCTCCCAAAACACCACAGACAATACAGAAAAGAGCCAAGGGCAGAGAAAACAAGAAAGGCAATGACAGTGAAGGAGAGATGTCAACAACATTTTAGAAAGTTGTCATGGGGTCCCTACAGAGAAAAAGAATCAAGGATGGAAACTGGGAGAGAAAGGGAATACTAGTTTCCTTTATAAGTCGGAGTGTCCCATGGACTTTGTAAACCACTTGCATGTCTTATATTATATTGTTTTTGTAAAGGTACAGTAAAAATAATAATAATAATAATAAATCAATACAAGCATCCACTGAGTGATCGTCAAGGGTTAGGTTTTAAATTATGATTCTTTCTTGATGCAGTACAAGCTCATTAATTTGGAACATAAAGAAAAAAGACTGTTCCATTAATAGACTCAGATGCTACAATGTTTCTAATAAATTAAATTTCTCAAATTAAAAAAAAAACAACCCTGAGAGACTTTAAGTCAGAGAAGGAATTGCGATTATTTCCAATTAGACACCATTTTGAGCAAACAGAATTGCCTTTGCAAGATGCTACTGTATTCTAAATAAGGCACAGTACATAGAAAATGCTTTGAAATAACAAACTGTCTAATGAGGGATCCTTGGTTTCAATGCTCTTATTCAATTTGAATTCAATTGAAGAAAATTTGTTTTAAGATATAAACCCCAGGGAAAAGCAGATGGCAGTTTTACAGAACTTTTTGTTATTGATTCAGAGGTGATCAACATAAATGAATTCAGGAAGCAGGGAGGAAAGAAAAGTAAGTAAAGATGACATAATTACTGAGAAAAAGACCATTTAGTAAATCTTTGAAAGTATTTGTGGAGTTGATTGTGCAATAAGCTCACTTTTAAAACTTGTAGTGTGTCAGCAATTTCATGACTCTGGAAAATTCTACTGGACAAAAAAAAAAAAAGAAAAAAGAACCGAGTCTCTTCAACAAACAAACTTCAAGGAAAAGAGAAAGAGAGAAGGAAGAGGGACCTGTATATTTTTAAAGATTTAAAAAGCTAGGTAGCCAGTAGTAATATGTAGACATTATTTGGATGTGGGTTCAAACAAACTAAAAAGGCATGATGGAAATTGGAACACTAGAGATGTGTTAATATTAAAGAATCAGTGATGTTAGATTTTTGGATGGGATAATGGTAAAATGATTATGTTTTAAAATAGAGTACTTATTTTTTATACAGAAACACAAAAATATTTATGGAGGAAATGATTGAAAATCTAGGAATTTGTGTCAAATAATTTAGGAGCAAAGAGCAGATGGGGGTGCAAATGGGAGACGACTAGTTGTTGGGGGGATGGGTGGCAGACACATAAATGTTCGTTACATTGTTGTGTATTTGGTAGTATTTGAAATTACCCATAATGAAACTTTTTTAATAGAGTGTGCCTTTTTTAGTTTGTATGTTTAGTTTGATCTTTTGTTTGATACTTTTCTGACATTCTCTTAGCTATCTGAAGATTCTCTAGAGCACCTATGTCGGGAACCAATGACCTGTGAAGCTGGAACTTTGGCAATGATTAGAGCCCAATATTCTAGGGCTGTGGTACACAGACTCTAAGGGGATCCCAAGGTGCTCCAACCTCCTGACATTCACACCTTTAATTTTGTCCCTTGACTGTTGGTGGGCCCTGTGACTTGTTTCTTCCAGCCAGCAGAAAATGGCAAAGGTGACAGATGTCATTCATGTAATGACGTTACGTTATATATGACTCCCCACCCTTGCTTGATGAAAGTGAAGAAGACTTAAAATATTTACTGATGAAGATCAAAGACCACAGTATTTGGTATGAATTACATCTCAATGTAAAGAAAACAAAAATCTTCACCACTAGACCAATAAACAACATTCTTATCAACGGAGAAAAGACTGAAGTTGTCAAAGACTTCATTCTTCTTGGAACGACTATCAACACTCATGGAAGCAGCAGTCAAGAAATCAAATGACGTATTGCATTAGGCAAATCTGCTGCACAAGACCGTTATAAAGCGTTGAAGAGCAAAGATGTCAGCTTGAGGACTAAGGTGCGCCTGACCCAAGCCCTGTTATTTTCAATAATCTCATATGCATGCAAAAGCTGGACAGTGAATAAGGAAGACCGTAGAAGAATTGATGCCTTTGAGTTATGGTGTTGGCAAAGAATATTCAAAGTGCCATGGGCTGCCAAAAGAACCAATAGGTATGTTTTGCAAGAAATGTAGCCAGAGTGCTCCTTGGAGGCCAAGATGGCCAAACTTTGTCTCTCATACTTCAGACATATTGTCAGGAGGGAGCAGTCACTGGAGAAGGATATCATGTTTGGTAAGGTGGAGGGTCAGAGAAAGAGAGGAAGACCCTAATAAGATGGACTGGCCAAGTGGCAGCATGGATGGACTCAAGCATGGCAACAGTAGTGAGTTTGGCCCAGGATCAGGTAGTGCTTCATTCTGTTGTGCATAAGGTTGCTATGAGTTGGTA